GCTATGTAGCTAGCTGAGAAAATTCAAATCGCCCCCCACGACTGGTGCCTCTATGCTGCCCATGATCACGGAACCGCAATCTCCTAGAGGTGCCCGCTAGCTAGTTAGGATGTGCTTGCAGTGCATGAATGGACTCCCAAGATGATATGGCCTCTCCGTTGTAGTCGGCAGCTCGCAAGGCCTGGTAGTGATTACAACTCGTACTAGCCAGTAGCATTGAAAACTATCAATAGTCCTAAGGAAACCTTAAGCATCTGCTGTTTGAGATTGATCGGTTGGTTGTGCTTGCTTCGGCTAACACTTTTGAGATTGAATGAGGGCCTTTGATTCTGGGCTTCAAGAGATATTCATTAGGGGCCAAACCCTAAACCGAGCAGCAATGCCTCTCTTTACTGCGGCAAGGGCCTCATTCGAAAGAACCACTCAGAAGAATCCTCGAAACCGTAGATACAAACTTGTTGTTTAAATTATATGGCTTCGGCCGCCGGTAACCCTAGACTAGATCCAGAACGAAATCCTGGAACACTTACAATCCCGATTAAAGTCTAGATCTATATTAAAGGCCCTGAATCTCTACGCCTGCATGCACAAAGTAGTCCCTCTCAGCCTGCCAATACATCCCCGATCTATAGTGCATGTGCCCCAGCACTGACAATCCTTAAACTCTAAACCCTAAACCTGTCTTCTCTGACTATCCCTAAACCCCTAAACCCTAAACCTGACACCCTAAGCCCTACACCTGTCTTCTGCCCTGTGTATGCTGCTGCTAACATTTGATAATTCATAATTCGGACTGGCTTCCTCTGGCTGGATGATCGCACTTCTGGGCTGTGTGCGGGCATGTGGTCGGTGCATTGAGGGGTCGGGTGGCATAAGGTGTGGAGTACAACTTCGGCAACTAGATTCGGCTAGGGTTGGCTACGTGTTGGAAGTTAGTGGCTTCGGGGTCTGTGTGTGTGTGTGTGAGATTCCCCTTAAAGCTCGAGGTGTGGGTCTGGGCTAGGGTCTTAGGAATTAATAGCTAGGCCATCCAGTGGAGAGTCGGCAGTTGTCTGTGCACAGCGAAGTCTGCTGGAAACCATGAAGCTTCAAGTCACTACAACTCAGCAATGCCCCAATCCTCAGATGAGCCCTGCTTAGTACAATGTATAGCTTGGTAACCAATCTGAACCATGTTTACCTCCGGATCCCCTGCTAGAATACAACATCTACATTTTTGTCCTACATAGCATCCGATGTTTGATGCAACCTTCAGCCCTCCTATGGCCTGCCTCATGAGCTCGGCTAAGTAGAAAGACCAGGTTAGGACAAGCAAGTGCCCACATCTAAGCACTTAATTGCACCCCGTCAAAGTTCCTGTGCTCAAAACCCATGTTGTAAGAAGTACTCGAAAGCTTCGATGGTCATACTACGAATGACAGCCTGTGGACCTGGCTACAGTGCTGTGCGTGCATGCTGGATCACCTACTCCTGGCCTCTCCAAGTACCTAGCCTCCTGTAAAGCACCCCTTGAAACTTGGTGGCCCAGCCTCTGATGTGGCACCTGAAGGCTTAAGGGTCTGTCTATTTTATGGTCTTATACCCTCAACCCTAAACCATGATCCACATCATAATCGAGGCCGGGAGAAGGTCAAGGCCAGGCTTAGGGCATCTGCTGTTTAGGATTTAGGGTTCAGGGTTTTGTGAAGCATGCTATAAAGAACCCTAGAAGTTGCTATACGCAGCACTCCTAAGACATTCCAAGATATACAAGTAAAGTGTAAATGGAGCATAGTCGCGAGTCCTCCTAGCTAGGTATACAAGCCTTGACTCAGGATAGAAACTTAATAAGGGGAAGTACAGTAGCCTGGGATGACCGGCATGTGGAACAGCCTGGCTAGATGCTCGACCACTGAAGTGGTGAGGAATCTGCTGCATTATTACTTGCTTTGTAGTGTAGTTTGATTTAGGAAATTGGGCACCGAAGTGGGGCCAGGGTCCTACATTAGGGGTGTAGGGTTTAGGAAACCCAAGAGCATCGAAGTGTGGCCAAGATCCTATTAGGGGGTCTAGGGTGATTGAAATATTATTGAGAGGGAATGGAAGTGGGCCCTAAACCCTAGTGGGGAAATAGGTTTTAGGGTTTAAGGTTAAGGAATTAATCAGAAGCGGTCAAAAGGGCCCTGGATCGCATTCTCCGGTGTAATCTGTGTCCATATTTATTGTGTTTGTTTGAATGTTGGTTTGAACCAGATGAGGCTCGATATAAGGCCTATATATATATAATGTAGTATATGTTATTAATCCAATGAATTACGAGGAACTGGGGTTGGGGCTGGGGCTGGGGCCGGTGGCTCTGTTATCGATGATCATGATGCTTAGGGGAATCGCGCGCAAGAAGCACAAACAACCGCATGTGTGGGTCCATCTTCAATCGATGGTCGGTGATGCTCGTCCACGAAGATGGCGGTAACACCAGTCGGTGTTCCAGTGCTTGATGCTGAAAAGACGGCGATTGTCAGTTGAGTACAGCCGTCCGCCATGCAACGCGACCCTGATGCTCGTGATGTCTCCGCAGGTGATTTCGCTTCGTGCGGAAGGTCGCCCATAGGCCGTGCCAGATGCTCCGTGATCGGTGGACACGTGGCGCGTGACGTGGTTGGGTATTACCCAGGGCTATATATAGTTCGACTTATACAAAGCCCGAAGTCGACCCATATCTAATATAAAAAGACGGCTTTGAACCCTAAACTGTTGCTAGACCCCTCAACCTACAGCTCTATTAGACCTATATACACACAAACCCTGGCTAAAGCCTCAACCTTTAAATTGTTAACTCCCAAAGCCGAGACCCTTAAACCCATGCAGTTCCTTTATTAGACATCTTTAAAGACTATCTAGGTGCCAGTGCAACTGAAGCCACACTCGAGCAGCAACGATTAGAATGAAGCAGTCTAGAGCTATTATAATGTGAATGCCCTTTATTCCCCTAACCATTCACTTCAAGATACAGGGAATCCTATGTCTCCTGTTTGGCACCCTGGACGCGACCAGACAGGATAACCTTATTGTGAGACAGAACACATAGGAGCATTGTATGTCCTTTTCAAGACCACATTTAGAAACTACATCATGGTCCAGTGCCCTTCGTTCTAGACTACTAGAATTGCAATAATCCGAACTTAAAGCCCCCCTAGATTCCACAATTCCTAGCAGATTCCATACTCCGGTGGACGAAACGCTGTGTCTGCTGGGTGAAACCCACGGATTCTGGGTTCGTGGCAGAGAAAACCTGCTGGGGCTGGCTTAGACCGGCAGGAAGGGAAGCCTAGCTATACTGAATTACTTAGCAAAAACCACACTCCCGGGCCCTAAACTGCAGGAAATAAGCGGTTGTCTATAGGAAACCCTAGAAGGTATTGTGGATCCTAGGAAAAAAAAACCACACTCCCGGGCTCTAAACTGCAGGAAATAAGCGGTTTTGTATAGGAAACCCTAGAAAGTATTGGATCCTAGGAAAAAAACCACACTCCCGGGCCCTAAACTGCAGGAAATAAGCGGTTTTCTATAGGAAACCCTAGAAAGTATTGTGGATCCTAGGAAAAAAACCACACTCCCGGGCCCTAAACTGCAGGAAATAAACGGTTTTCTATAGGAAACCCTAGAAAGTATTGTGGATCCTAGCAAAAACCACACTCCCCGGCCCTAAACTGCAGGAAATAAGCGGTTTTCTATAGGAAACCGCAGAAAGTATTGTGGATCCTAGCAGAAACCATAGTATTTACAGGAAATCCTACGTTTTCCCGAGGAAACCAGCATTCCCTGCAAATTACAGCACGTCTGGCCTCCTCCGCACTCCGGCATAGTGATCCTGGTGTGAAGAGGGAAAAATGGGAGCGTTACTTTCGCGTTACTTTGCGTGACTTTGCGTGCTGTGTCCGTGCTGGGAGCGTGCTGGGCGTTACTTTGGCGTGCCTTTCGTGACTTTCCCCTGGGCCCACTCAGACGGCTCTTTAGGTGATTTCACAGTCTCCAGACAGGTTTTCACAGGGGTGTCCTGATTTCCCGAATTGAGGATCTACTTCAGGCATATTTCCTAGAAGCTTTGCATGTTCCGGGGCCCCAACCAATTCGATTCCCAGCTCCCGAGCTTGCCGGGGCCATGACAACACCAGCCACTGCATCAGCAGGTGCGGTTACTCGACTGCATTAGCCTGGGATTCTGCCTGGCTATAGACATTGAAGCTAAAGCCTTCTATTCAAAGCCCTGCTTTAGTTAGATTTGGGAGTCGGGATGTGTCACAGACATGACGGTAATTACTTTTCTTATAGTTTGATATTAAGCAATCTAATATGTATATACTATACATACATGCACATATAAACACACGCCTAGACACACAGCTTCATGTGCAGCTTAGCCCCAGTCAACAGCAAATGCATTCACTGCACCATTCTCTTTTATTCCTCTATATAATCACTGTGTGTACACCACACACTGTCTACTGCTCCTGTAGCACGTAGCATGAAAGATATCATACCAGTTTCAAGACACATTAGATCATGCTCAGCCGCACCATACCACATACCATGCCATGCCATACAAGATATAATTAATATGCATATACCAAACCACACCCGACCGTACCATGCCATGCCACTTCATGGTTTTGACACCTTGCCATGTAACCTGCTGCATGGCAACTTTGCAACCTGATGTGCTCTAAAAGAGTATTGTAGCATGTGTCAGATCATATCATTTATATAGAATCCATATCTATATATGTATATATATACCCGTTAACAATACATCATACAATGTACAGTAATATTTACTTGCCAGGCTTTATTGTGTATACCTATAGCTAGCTACCAACCAGGCTATACCTACCTAGATAGAAAGCTACATACCTGGCTATATATGAGTACCATGACAACAACTAATACTTGTACTATATGGCACCTACACAGTATGTACTCTCAGGGTCCAACCTGAGGCTTCCGAGGAGGATAGCTTCGACATGGAGAAGGAGCTTTCGGATGTCAACAAGCGTTTGCGAGTACAGACCGGTGTGACACCGGTGTCGGATTTGAAGCGCAGCCGACCGATTGAGGTTGGGTCTGATATCGTCCCCCAGGGCCGTGCACCCGCGACGAGCAGTGCCCGTGAGATGGCCCTGCAGGGGCTTCCTCAAGAGGATTTAACGCCCCACAAACAGCCTTCACAAGCAGTTCACCCAGCTGCCCCGACCAAAGTGCCCAGCCCCGAGAAACCCACGGTGCCAAGTCCTCGGAACCTCATGCCACTGCTCGAACAAACAGTATCCAGGCATGACTAGTCTATGTTTAAGCTTGGATCTGCATGTGAGATTGGGTCCGTGTTTGTATTGTCATAAATAAAAAATAAATAAATAAAATATAATATGTAATATATAACATAATATATATATATATATGTATATATACACATTAATACCCAGTTTCCGAAATATTGTCTTTTGTGATTCATGCCAAGGCTGACACTTTGGTTGAGGATGATCAGCCGGCTGTTGCAGAAGCTGTTGCTGAGCAGGGGGCTGTGCAGACCGGAGAACCTGGTGAGCAGGCAAAGGGATCGGTGCAGACCGAAGGACCTGGTCAGCAGGCAAAGGGAGCTGTGCAGACCGAAGGACCTGGTGAGCTGGCAAAGGGATCTGTGCAGTCCGAAGGACCTGGTGAGCAGGCAAAGGGAACCGTGCAGACCGGAGGACCTGGTGAGGCAAAGGGAGCCGTGCAGACCGGAGGACCTGTGCAGACCGAAGGACCTGGTGAGGCAAAGGGAGCCGTGCAGACCGAAGGACCTGGTAAGACAGTGGGCAGCACAGGTCTCAGAAGCCTTGACAGCATGTCTACACTCTCTTGGGGCCGCAGAATCAGCGTGGAAAGCCTGGTCCCGGATACGCCGATGAAGCAGCCAGTGCATTTCTTGGAGCAGCAGGCGTTGGAGCTCCAGGGAAAGCTTTTTCAGGCCTTTGGGGATGGAGCTACGTTTGCATCAGATGATGAGAAAGGGCGACGGGTGCTCGGGGACCTCGTCACGGATTGGTTGATAGAGCTTCAGGGCTCTGAATACCCTCCGGTCCAGCCGGGAGCAGCGGGGGACACGATGGCCATCTCTGCAGTGGAGTGCCTGGATGCTTGGGCAGCCCTCAGGGCTGTGGCCAAGAAGGAGGCCGATCTGCAAGAGCAGTTGCAAGCCAAGATGGCTCACGCAGACCAGGCCGTGGCAAAGGCTTTGTCGAGCGTGGTCCAGCACGCCGGGCAGGCCGGTGCTTTTTCGAACAGCGCTGCTGTTACGCAGCGCATGGCTGCTTGGAAAAGGAGCCTGCAGGAGCAAGGCGAGAAGGAGATCCAAGGGGTCAAGGAGCAGCTGCAGATGGCCACCAGTCGTCTGGAAGCAGGGATTTCCCAGACAGTGGCAGTGGCCCTTCAGCGGTATGATGAGGCCCGCCCCAGAACAGAGGACGAGATCGTGGGCGCCCTCATGCTGCAAGTTGAAGAGCACATGCAGTCTTTGCAGCTGATTGATGTGGACCCCGCCTCAGCAGGTGGCACCGGTGGAACCGCGATGGACGTGGACGCCCACGACACCAAGGCGAGGGTCAGGGGCCGGGGTTTGTGTTGCATTGAACGGCCTATATTGATGATAATATCGGTATAGGTCTGGAATTCATGGATAGTCCGGTTTTCTACAACCCTTCGGGCCTTTTAATGCTCTGGAGCTGCTAGACTTCTGAAGTCGAAACCTTCCATTTCTACGTGTATATCGTAGTATTTTATTCCGACATGTACATGTACATGCACATCTGACAAAGTTTAAGCATCATATGTTTGTGGTATGCAACGAGACTAGAATGCAGCTATGCAGGAGACCACTGAGCGACCACTTCGTGGCATGCTACCCCCGCCCCCACCTGATCGTGCTGTTGAACTCCAGCTGGAGCTGACCCGCACCGGGCTTCAGCGCCTGGACACCAGTCTGATGGAGGCTCTCAGGAGGGTTAACCCAACTTCTAGAATAGATGTATAATAGTTCATGTATCTACATCTAACATTGGACTCTTAATTCCTAGTGTGATGACTCTGCAGCAGCACTGCTGCAAAGGGTTCATAACAAGCCTAAGCCTGGTCTAACCTAGTCGCAGGTAGCTGCAGTGCTAGCTGTAGTGCTACTACTACGACCACTACCACTAGTACTACTACCACCACCACCAGCACCACCACGACGACTACTACTACTACTACTACCACTACCACTACTACATCTACTTCTACTTTTGCTTCTACTTATTTCTGCTACTACGAGTAGCAAGTAATAAGATTGAATAATTATAGTTGTACCGGCTCATGTGTCAGTGCTGCTTGGGTATGTCACGCGGGGCGGTAGTACTTGTTCTTGTTGTCGTTGTAGCACGGCTGGTGCTCGGATTAGCGCTGCTAGGGTATGTCACTCGGGGCGCATGTATTCCTGCTGCTTGGGTATGTCACTCAGGGCTCATGTAGTAATGGTGGTAGTAGCAGTAGTAGGTAGTAGCAGGTTGCAGTGGGTATGTAGTCTATAGCATATGGTCAAAAGTAGGCAGCAAGCAGCTGTTATATATACTATGCATGTATCTATATATTAAATACAGGTAGTCATAACACAACGATGAATGCATCTTTTTTCTAGACTTATAATTAGCGGCCAGGTCATCGTCGTCACATTAATTGTTGTCGTGACATTAACAACCCTGACGATGCCCCCTGCAATCACAAGCTCAAGCTATATACTAAATCCTTGGGAGGAGGCAAAGCTACGGGAGATGGTCAACCACGGCTTGCTGCTGGAGCGCAACGACGGCGCCTTCGAGACCCCCGATGAGAGAGATCGCCGCCTTGCGCACAACCAGAGAATGCGATTCAACAGGAGCTTTGAAAGTGCCTTTACAGCAAACTTGAGATTTGTTGGCTAAACATATAAGGTTTGGGGTGTAGGGCTTAGGGTAGGGCTATATATATATATATATGTATATGTGTGTGTGTGTGTGCTGGGAAAGGGTGGATAAAGGGGTTAGTTGTTATATATATATATATATATGTTATATATATATATATATATATGTCTGTACATGCCTATTAATATGACTCCGGATATAGCTTATAGTTACAAGCTCAAAGTAAGCAGGTCTTACTAGCTTCCCTTTACATGGACACCTCGGTAGTTTGCACAGGGAATGCATAAATCCTGGAAACACCCCCTCGAGCAAGCTCACAATTCATGTATTGTAAGGCTTACCTCTTCGAGCTCACCAATCGCCCAACACCCTTAAACCCTAAGCTTTGGAATCCAACTTTATTGGATGTGAGGTAGCAGGTAGTCCCCAACTCAGAACCCAAACTTTGGAGTACTGCAAGGCCCGCTTTGCCCGGAGCCTGTGCTGGAGGCGGCCAAGGGGAAGAAGTACAGCCGCCTGGGAGGAATTAGTTTAGCAGGTCTTAATTCTTGATTTTAGGGTTTAGGGTTTAGGGTTTAGGGTTTAGGGTTTAGGGTTTTTTTTTTCAGTGATCGTCATCACAGCTGAGACCGGGTCATCATCAACCGGTTGTTCGAGGAGTGGGTGCAGGCGTCCGAGAACTGGGCCAGCAGCGCGATCGTGTTCAATGCCAGTTTGAGCCGCTCGCAAAGGCGCCGTGGCAGGTATGTCATGAAGACGTTCAAGGACCTCAAGCTCCTTTATGGAGCTGCCTCGGCAAAGGCGATTCGCGAGAGAAAAAAGGAGATGGGCTCGGACTGGTGGTGGCCCCACCCGGAGATGGCCGACAACGAGGACCTTCAGCCTGTCTAAGAACCCCAAACCCTAAACCCTAAAGCCTAAACCCCAAACCCCAAACCCCAAACCCTAAACCCTAAACCCTAAACCCTAAACCCTACCCCGCACATTTATTCAGGCACACACACATAACATGTACATTGATGTACACATGCATGCAGACATATTCCAGATTCAAACTCGGTAGTGCACATCACTGATACAGAACCTTTGCAGGTACAGACATTTGATCACAACAAGCATGTGCATGTACAAACAATATAGATATATAAATATAAATATATATATATATATATATATATTTATTTATTTATTTATGTATTTATATTTATATTTATTTGTTCATATATATTTATATTTATGCAACATTCTGCCCCCCATATGGCTAATTCCCCTTACCTGTGTTGGACATGTAACCAATATGCAAAATAAATGGGGATGCTAGCCAAGTGTTTACCCTAGGACCTTTAAAGCCATACCCTTATCCTGCAGGAGTGGGAATGCTTCAAGGTGTACGACTCCATGGAGTTCGAGGACGATGAGACCAGCACAGCGGAGCACCAGTTCCGAGCAGAAGGCGCCCTCGATGGGGAAGCCACCCGGGGTCTTGTGTGCCACGACTTAATGGTTATGATTCCTAGTAAAGTAAACCTGGACTGTGTGTCATGGGGATTGTGTAACTGCTAGATTATCCAAGCTTCTACTTGCATTAATGGGCCTAGGCCATCTATTATTATTTTAGGGGTTAGGGTTTAGGGTTTAGGGTTTAGGGTTTGGGGTTAGGCAACACTACCGTACACCGCTAGGCCTGAACTGCTCTGCTGTGCATGGCAATTTATTGTCTGCTGTTGTTGTGCTGCTTCTAGATCTGGTACAACCAAACCCCGGACCCTCCTGGACCCTAAACCCTAGAACCCAGGTCAGCCTACCACCAGCCGGGCGCTCCGGCCGGCTCTGGCTACCAGTTCGGCGTGATGCGTCCTGCAAAGGCGGCTCCCCCGACACCCGGCACCCCAGCTCCAGGGGGCAGTGGGGGCAATCCGGGCCAGGAGACGACCGGGAAGGGCGGTGGCAAGAAAGGGAAGGCACCCTCCCTGAGGAAGGCAGCCACGAACAAGCTGAGTCAGATTTCGACGAAGTTAGCTGAAGCTAGGGTGGCTGGAAAAGAGTTGCCTGGCTGCCCGCAGCTGCCCCTCAGCTACAACTGCGATTAACATGAATAGATGTAGTGGGGCTTGTTGGATATGAAGGCCACACTCCCTGGCTGTAGCTTGTTGAAGATAGTTCCCTACTCAATATAACTTCTTGGGTCCCCATTTCCGTGAACCCTAAACCCTAAACCCTCACCGATCTTATATTAGCAAATTCAGCTATATAAACCTCGAATTCTCAAACACACACATACCTTGAACCACTTAAGTGAGGTCTGAGAAGATGAAGGAGGGCTATGCGCAGGAGCTCGACGAGGGCACCCAAGTGGTGGAGACAGCTCGAGGACGACTCGAGGAATGGTATGCCCGTAAGATTGAGGATGCCGACATTGTGCCCTGGTTCTTCATACCCCGTATAATGTATATTTGCAACTTGCTTAAGGGTACACTTAAGCCTGGCCCCTCTTATCATGAAATATTTGAGGTTGGCGAGGAGAGAGGCATCTACGACGAGGCCATGCGAGCTGTGGACCAAGCGTTTACAGTCTTGGCTGGCAAGATCAAGGCGGTAAAGACCGCCACGGTGTCTAGGCTGGAATTAAAATGCCACATCCCCAGTACTTATGTCATTCCCTCAATGCTTGCATGTGAGGCACCACCGAAGGAGCCGAAAGCCAAGGGCAAGAGTCGTGCCAAGCCTCGATGAAGAGTCGGAAGAGCCGGCATCGCCACCTGTGGCTCCCGAGATCATTGGGCTATCTTGAGGCTTCAAAGAGGTAGCCCAGCCGTAGGAGTTTTGACCACAGGTCTTCTGCCGCATGTGCATCGAGCGGCCGGGGTGTGGCACACTGATTACATGCTTAGGCATACAGCCATTGTCCTATCAATGCTAGGGCTTCGGGCATCAGGGTCCTAGGCATTTAGGCTTCAGGGCCAGTGCTTTGCATATTCCACGAAGCCACTGCCCTGTGCTGCTGCGATGAGCCACGTAGGCGATTTAAGCTGCATTTCATGCAGTACTTTGAGACCTGCTGCTGCAGCTGAAGTGCTGTGCTGGAAATATGTGCAACCTCATGCGCGGAGCCCTTGTGTCGGAGTCTGCAATGATTAGATTGTTGACGACACTTCATCATGTGTAATTATATAATTTTAGGGAAAGTGGAAACTCCCCACGCAGGTCGGTCCGTGAGCACTCCTCTTCACGCCTATGTCATGAAGACGATCGGCAAGGGTGTTACTAGCCGGCAAGGGCTGGATATAGGCCTTGATGCTGCGTTCATCCTCTAGCTCAACAGTATCTTTAAAGCTATACAAGAACATTAATGAGTGTCCTTGGTATTCGAAGCCACTGCCAGATCCACGTGAATTCAAAAATATCCAGACTTTCCTCGAAATCCCCCAATGCATTCCCCACCTAGAAAATACTCCCTGGACCCTTTAAAGCCTTGCAGTCCCAACCCTGAAGAAGCTACTTTATCTCAGACACCTAAACCCTCTCCGCTTAATCCTAAACCCATAATCCCTAAATTCCACAATTCCGAATTACCCTGCAGTGTGGGCTCGTCTTTTATAGCCAAATAGGAGGCAACAAACAACTCAAATCCTACACCCCCCAAACCCAAAACTCTACTCCTAAACCCTGAGCCCTAAATCCTGAACCCTTAAACCGTAAGCCGAGAGCTTCACCTGTTCTCTGCATAGTCGTCCGTGGGCCTGTTCGAACTGAGGAAACTTCGTTTGCGGGTGCCCGGGAGATGCTGGATGCTGTCAACAAAGAGTTCCAGGGCCATGGTATGGAGCTAGCCGGGGCTGCAGGGGAACTGATTTCCACATCGGGAAGATGGCCTAGCAACATCCAACGAGACATGTTACGACGGTGCAAAGCGTCCAAAGTGTCTTGTATGCACACGGTGCACATGCACACATGAGTCGTTGCAAATTGGGTGTGCAACATGTACATGTATCATGTTAATACCGGGTACCTTTAAACTAATTGCCGATGCATCCAAGGTCCCGGTTACCAAGTTGGCTGTCCCTGTGATCCTGAAGGGTACGGTGAAGAGAAGGTTCCTTGACTTGGTATGGGTTGCCTGCTGCTTTCAGTTGTAGAAGCCTATAACCCAAGGACACTTCCTGTGGCTCTGCCACATGAGGTGTTGCCCTGGCTGGTGCAACGGGGCATTTTCCCCCTGGATGATTCTGCTGAGATTGTGCGTTTCTGGACGCATGCTCGAAGTGTCGGCTTGCCAACCGGGGGTGCCACTGACTTTCACATTCCTTTGTGGATCTGGGGAGACGATGCTAAGTTTACAGAGACACACCAAGACAAGTTAGTGGTGGTGGCCTTCGGAAGGCTGCTTGAGACCTCCAAGAATGCCCTGAAGACTGTTTGGCCTCTGTTCACCTACCAACAGGTGGGTGAAACTAGCAGTCCTTCGGATGTTTGACAACCCTAAACCCATACAATGCTAAATAATTGCAATCCCCCAGAAACTATTACATTGTTCTGAACTTCTAGTATTTGTAAAATAGGGAGACCCTAGCACTGATTTCTTATCCGTGAACCCCCTTTGTCCTAACTTACCGACAAAGACCCTGTAAATCCTAACAGGTTAGCAGCTTCACGAGTATGGTAAACTCATAGTTACCCTGAGGGCCAGAGTTCCGGACCTGGCACCCTCAATACTTTCATGGAGGAGGCACTGGGGATAGTCGTTCGTTTGTAATTGTGCACATACCATGCGACGGGCAGCTTTGGATGATATCTAGTATATGAAAAAAACAGGTCGTGAAATCCTTCAACATCCTCTTTGAAGAGGGTGTCATGGTGACGACACCGTCTGGGCAGCGCAAACGTGTGTATGCAGCAGTGGTACAGTACCAGGGTGACTGGAAGTGGCACAAGGCCTGAGGCTAGGATCATAGCTAGATGAAGTCCAATAACTATATGCCACGATAAATTTGATGTATCATTAGTCTTGTTCAGATAACCCAGTCCCGACCAATTCGCGCCTCCACCTCTGCTCGGTGGTGACCACGAGCCTCAGGAGGGTGCAAAGGGAAAGGGGGGTGGCACATTCTGCCACCCCCCTCCCCCTTTGCACCCCCCCTAACCTTGGACGGAGTGTTGTAGAATTCAATGTTGGGGTTGCCGGGTTTGTTGGTCTACAGTTGCAAAGCATCGACGGTTCGATGAAACTCCAAGCCCCCTAGCACTATCACCCCTATAAGCCCGAGTCCTAACAGCCCATCGCTATGCCAGATCATACAGCTCCTGTAGCATCACATTGGAACCTTTGTAGCTTGCCTTATGGTTGTTCATGAGTCTTCTTCCTGTTCCCCAATGGGACCCTTGTTATACAGTATACCGGTTTGTTGTGACTTAGCATTGTCTGCATATAGCAACATATGAAGTAGGATAAGTCGATCCTATAATGCAACCCAAACCAAATAAGAATGAACCTAAACAACCCCAGATTTACAAGCCCCTTTCACTGCAATAGCACAAAGCCCACCCTCAGGGTCTAAACCCAAACAACTTGGTCCTCAACGTATCTTATGAAGCCCAATTCCCAATACCGCTCCCCAAAGATGTGCCTCGTGAACTAAACCCCAAAGTGCGGTAAACCCATATCATGCCACCGAAAAAATAGGATGCTGATGATGGAAACACCTCCCCCCTGCAGGAATGGCTGGCTCTCAAGGTGGGGTGGAATTGCAACCACATCTGCCATCACTGTGGAGCCCACAAGAAAACCTATGCATGCGTGCCGGGCAACCTCGAGGCACGCCGTGATCGACGAGACTTCGAAGACAATGCCTGCCGGAAGTCAGAGTGTGACCGGGTTTGGTTATTTAAGGCCGTTCGGGTTTAGGCTAGCTTAAATATAATAATAAGTTCTTTTCACCCTAAACCCTAAACCCTAAGCTCATACCCCTAGCAGCCATTTGGGGAAGGCTCCTTGCTGGGTTTGATGAACTTCTCACCGGAGTACATCCGGTGGTGCTCAATGCATACCCTGAACTTGGGGTTTGGACAATCCCTCTTGGGCTCGGCTTTCCGGGTGATGCTGGAGGGCAAGATTTGGGGGGATGACTCGGACGAGAACCAGCTCAAGGCTGCCTTTGCTGAGTTTGAGACCTGGGCCAAAGCCAACCGAATTCCGCAGCTTGACATTTGAATATAGCTAAGGCCGAGTAGAAGCAGTAATATGATTTTGCAACAGTTAGGTCTAATATGATCATGCAAACTCAGTCACAGCCAACCGGGCTTCAAGATCTCCAATGTGGAGCGCTACCCTACGTTCCAATGCAAGGCTTACAATGCAGCTCAGCTGGTTTCTTATTTATGTATATGAACTTCGACCTAAGTCTTAGGTAGTGACTGCTAGATATATGTCATGGTGTAGTGTTGCATCCCTGCAGGGACGAGTGGTGACTGCATGGATTGCCGGCAAAGCTGTGCAATCTATGTGCACAGGAGAGCAGGATCTACTGGTGAGCTCTTTGTGCATTGGCTGAGATAGGATAGTAACAGTTTGTATTTATTCCCCATCCAGGGGAACCTGAAACCGATGTGTAATAACTCAACTTAATACAGATACCGGTTGCAGCAGTAACTCCTAGAAACCTCTCCCCATTTTTTCTCGCAAGCCCTCATGCATCACTTGACCTATGACCTAAACCTTATAGTGCTTGAAACCTTGACTGAGCAAGCCAAAAGCCAAAGCCATAAGCAGGAACCCTCAACCCCAACTAAAGTCTTTGAAACAAAACCATGAGACTTCATAGAACCTGCAGAAGAATGGTTCATGTCCGATCTTAGAAAGAGTTGAGCTGTCCGATAATCTAGACTTACGAATTGCAACAAAGAGCACCCTGAGTAAGCCATAAACCCTCAACCTCGATCCACTTTGCTAGATTCAAAAGGAATTCGCCATGTGCCTGTCATCCCAGGTGGCACTTGGCCAGCTGGTACAACACGACGGAGCGTGCCTCCCGCTACCTGTCGGCTGATGAAGCTGCCAGGCTTAGCCGTGCTTGTGTTTCTTGGCTTCGGAGTCGGAATTAGTTCATGCAGCAGTGGAAGCAAACATGTTCAGTGGGACGATTGTTCCCAGGATTCTTCTTTGGATGCCTACCTGCAGCTTGCAAATCGTGCCGTGGAGGAGAAGGTTTGCTTGTTTCCGATCAAGCCCAAATACCATGTCATACACTCAGCTTCTTTCAAGCATGGGGCATGGCAGGTACCAATCAGTGCATATCTTTTGTACAAAGGGTTGACATAAAACATGTTGCTCAGGGCTGGCAGGAAATGGCCTACTGGGCCGTGAAGCACCGTAACCTGTCTATACAAGAGCAGAGCCATTGCAGTCTATACCTGATTCAAGAGTTCATTATTGCTAATGGGTGTAATTCCAGTGATCTGAGGCATCAATCCAAGAACCTACCACTGCTTCAAGCAGGAGGACATGGTAGGATCCATGGTGAGAGCTGCTCTTAGTTATCATGCCCACTTAAGTACCTGACTTGGCCTTCACCTGTGTTGTTGGAATGTGTGCGAAACCTCGCCAAGGAATCGCCGAGGCATGCCACAAGCGCTCCGTCGAAGAGACTTGTTTGGCTCGGGTGTATCTCCAGCTCATCTACTCGCAAAGCAGCCCTTGAAAGTCGGGTTTGCAATCCATGATGTAGCCCCAAACGACTCTTAAGTTTCGTAAATAATCAATGCAAGTGTTCTCACAAGGCTTCTGCAAGCTCGATCCCGTGATGTCGAGGGTATTCCCTCGTGAGGGAAATTTATGCCAATTGATGCAAAACCCCACATGTGTGCCTCGACGAGCTGTGCCGGCAAAAGGTGCCATGGAGGCGCAATGAGCTCTGTTCTTGTCGATGCCCATGCAATGCATAGCAAGCCCCAGCTCAATGTGTTTCGGTAATAACAGACCGTGCATGCAAGCCTTAAGCCCCAAGCACACCTGACCCTAAAACCCAAACTGCCTGAAATGATGGGTAGCTAGCAAGAAACCACAAGTACCACCGATGCCCATCCCTCTGAATCTTCAGTTAAACTTATATGCCTGCAACCTGCAACCCGAAACATGATCCTGAATGCTTAGCCGTCCCTCACAATCTGCTGTATGGCCAGTGGATTTGGTCATAATGAGGTTCAGGGGGCTTTCAGCGCCTTAGGGCTTAGTGTAGTCCAAGGTTAATGTTTTAGGGGTTAGGTTGGGATTCACTAGAAGTGTTTTAGGGGTGTGGGTGTTATAGGGATGTTGGTGGCTTAATATGCTTCGCAGGAATGAGTGCAGTTCGTGTTGAGCTGATGATGGGTCAAGGTCGCATCGGTAATGGTTATTTTCTGTGTGCAAGAATAAGATGTTTAGGTGCATCTACTCTTCCGTTTGTTTGTGTAGGCTCTCGGAGAATCTGGGTGCATGCAAACTTACCTGCTGTCGTTCTAAATGCTATTTAGGACGAGTGCTCCTGCCTGCTGCACAGTAATTCTCTGGATGTTTGCGGTGGCTACAACTGCAAGTTAGCTAGGCTGCCGGTGCTCGCATTAAGAAACCTTTTGTTGTGCAGCTGCTGCTGTACCTGCATTCAAGCCCTGACTGTGGCTAATATGGGTAAAGACGGTTGCAATGGCCGGCTGCCTCACTTCAAAAGCAAGGATGCACTTCACATGATCATGCAGCGACGCTACTCGCTGAGCAAGATGCTTCGGTGCATCAAGGCCTTGGAGGCTTCCGTTGCTGGGTGGCAGAAAGTTGGTAAACTTGAAGTGTTAGACACACGTTATATTATAATATATAGGCAGTCAACAGTGATGATCTGCTAGTATAAGGCATGGCCGTCCGCATGGCAGCTGGCCCGTCGGCTTCGTCGTGTTGCCGAGTCTTACGAGAAGCACCAGATGCAGATGAACGATGAAAGAGAGCAGCGACAGCAGCGACCGACGATGCACGAATGAATCGCCAATGTATGAAAGGAGTATTTAATTATGGTGTCACTGTCGCCAAAGCACCCATGCTGCGGTGGCAACTCATAGCAATCCCTCGTTGGAGCAACAGCGACAAAAAATATCCCTGATCAGGCTTGAAGGGTCACATTCGTCGCAGTCGTCCTGGTCTTGTCGTTGTCGCGGTCCATGCTCTGAAGGAGTCAGTCCCACAAGGTTCTCTGGTCATGTACCCCGGCCCCCGTGTATCCGTATTTAGAGACATGGTGGCGACATCGTCCAGGCACGAACATGGGCCCCGATGTGTCTACATACAGCGACATGGACCCTCTGGGTTATATGTTTTTAAGGTAGTATGACGGTATGTCTGTATGCCGGTATACATATATACATATATGTGTATTTGTATATGGAACAGTTATTGAAGTATGTAATACACACATATATATATATATATATGTACACATATACTTGCATACATATTCATGTGCATTCACAGATCTGCATGTGTAGATGTATGTTTGCATAAAAAATTATGCATGTACATAAACATAACCTATAAATATACCTATACCTATATACCTATATACCTATATACCTATGTACCTATGTACCTATGTGGTCACTCGTATGTAAGCGGCCGCGTGGGTTTTCGCAAGCAGCATATTGTTCGAATGTGTTTTTAACCCACGGGTGGCAGCAAATGTGAGCAATTTGCATTTATGCTTCTTGAAGTGTCTATGTAGGATCATACTGAATTGAAACTTAGGGCGTTGCTGTGCATACCAGTGTCTTGGGCATGGTCGC